ACACACACACACACACACACACACACACACACACACACACACACACAAACCCATGGAAAAAGGGATACTGCAGCCTTTTTTTCTTCTTTTTACTTTCTTAAAAAAGGGCAATAAAATATATTAAAACTTATTTACAATGCGTGTGTGCTTTTTTAAAGAAAAAAAACAAACACTATGATAAACTATGTTCCTGTTTTGCAGAAATTTCTAAGATAATGTGCCCCTGTTTCCTTTTATTGTAACAAGTACAGTTAAAAAACACTCAGTTGAACAAAGAAGGTCAACAAAAAAGGTACTAAAGGCACTGTCAGAACCATAAATGAATGGGTCCTCACTTTAGAGTGATAGTGGTCCAGTAGAGGGAAAAGGGTTAAGAATAAACTCTATATGCCACATCATGGGGAAAATATACACATTTGCCGGATATGGTTCTTTAAGGATTTTGATACATCTCTTTCTCAAAAGAAAAAGAAAAAGTAAAAGCCTTCACAAAGTGATACAAGAAAAGCCTTTTCTTTCCCTCAAAAAATGATAAATACTTTAAAAACAATATTAATAAATTGGTCTCAACACCAGCATCTGATTGTAAAATTGAATGAAAATCAAAACACAAAATTATAGCATTATCTAAATCATCTGTACAGTTTTTCCTGTATTTTCTTTGTACACAGTGTCCCCTACTGGTAGGTTTTGTTACTGCAGCTCCTGAGAAAAGCATGAATCAGTCCAAACCTCCCATGGTTCCTGAACCTGACCCTCGTTCAGTGAGTTGAGGGTTTTGGCAGTCCTGTCTACTCGCATATTAACGAGAGGATATGTCTCATGACAATTTTTTGTGTGTGCTCCACTCGTCACACAGTCACACAAATGTAGTCCGACTCATCTCATGCCTCAGAGTATGAGCTCTGTACATTGAGTTTGTCTTTCTTTAGTTTGACACCATCCACTAATTCAAAGTTGTAGTTCTCCAAAGCTGATAAGTTCCTCTCCGACATGCCTCCATGTGAACAAGCACAGTACAAAACCACACCGCAGATGGCCCCCAGGAAAACTCCCAGAGCAGACATGGCAATGATGGTAATAAGGATGGGATCGAGTGTCTTCAGCATGTTGCCTGCTCCACTGATCTGGTTGGTCTCCACAAAGTCAGGATATTCAGTAATTTCCTCAACTGGAACAAAACAAACAAACAAATAAACAAACAAAAAAATCTGGGACTAAGAAGCTACACTATGAAGATGAAATGTTTTCTTGAACTGGGTAAAGACTTACAGATTTCGTTCAGTCTGTCCTCTGGCAGCATCGGCTCAGTGGGCACATCAGGATCTTGAAACAGAAATTCTAGATTAATTCAATGTTCTGCACGATTTGATTTCAAGTCAGTTATTAAGAACATGTATTGAATTTATGAACACTCACCTTCACAGTCTGATATGCTGAGACCATCGAGAACTTTAATGTCATCCACAGCTATGTCTCCCCAGCTCTTTCTTTCTACAAGTCCCTCAATCACGACCTAAAAGAAAAAAATCATAATTGATTTTTAGACTGCATTTCAGAAAAAAAAAACTGCTATAATTCAAGTCTAATGAGGACCAGCCTGAACCTTTGGTTGTTTGTCCAAAAAAGTTCAATCTGGTCCTCTGGACAAGGACCAGAGGACCAAATTGAACTTTTTTTGGATTATTCTACCTGGATTATTGAGCATGCATCAGAATACTTTGGTTGTTTGGTTTTGTTGTATATATTACCCAACATTTAAATGTAATTTACCTGATAGGGTTTGTTGGTACGTGGCACAAGGACACGACCTTCTCTCCAGCGATTGCCTTGGTGACCACTGACTGTCCACAGGAGGATGTCAACAGGTCCTTTCTCTGTTTGTTTGCGCTGTTTTACATGCAGCATGCCAATGTGTGACCCAAACATGTGGTACCAAAAAGACACACACAGGTCAGAACCCTGAGAGCTGACGATAGGACTCACAAGCCGAGCCACTTCAGTCCCTTGGAGACCAGTAGCTAATGTGTAGATGAAATTCCCTGATCCACCTGTTGAATGAATAAACTCTGATTACTGACATATAAAAAGCACATTACTCACATCAGAAAAAAAAAAAAACTTTATGGTTTGGTCAAAGTGCTCACCTGTGTGGTCCATGTTGGGACCAGTGTTGAGAGTTGGGGTTCCACTAGACTGGATCTGCCACCTCGAGCTAGTGTCCTCTGACGTCCAGCTGCAGAAGGACGGGTCATTGGCCCAGCCAAAGTCACAGGCAAACCACAGAAAAGCTGCAAGTATTTTGAAGGTAGGTTAAGCTCATGGGGGAGATCTAATTTTTTTACAAATGGAAAAAAAAATAATAGCTTTGAAAGATCAAAACAATATTTGTCTTATGACTGTAGGATACTATCAGGAGCATACTCCACTTGTTCAGATCAGCTCTTTGCACTAGAGGGCACCAAAGTACTGCAAGACAAAAGCTTTGTGTCCCATTTGCTGTCTAAATGCACCAGACTAAGGAGGGGATTGCAGTTTTAGACAAAGTAAAATATGTCTGAAAGAAAAAAAATTACTGACCAGACATCACACAGTCTTTACATATGACAATGTCTGTTAATGAATGCAACAGGGTTTGTAAATGCCTAACAGGGAGGCATGCTGAGAAAAAGCATTGAATAGTGACAGCATACAAAGACAGGGTCTGGACTCAGTGTCCAGTTTAAAAAGAGACATTCATACCATCCTGCTGAGGGACAAAGACTTTAATGAGAGCAGGGACTTGAAGCTTGAACACAGCAATGATAACAGGGCAGGGGCCCCTTTCCAACAAGGTTGTATCCCATAGACAAGTCATGCCCAAGAAGCCTCCACAGAGGCCAGAAAACATATGAAAGCTTTACATTAAAAAAAAAAAAAACTGGATAGAGAAAGCCTCCCAAGAAACACATTGATGGGAGATGTTTGGGATGTCAGCCATAGTCTTATCTTGAATCAGAAAGTTTCCAGAGATACAACGAGGTTTCATTCCAGTTGGCAAATATAAAGATTCCCTTTAATAATGTGAAGGTTTAACTAGCCTTTGCAGCATAGGCGTCGCAACCATTATATGTGAAGGGGACAAGTCCCCCCACATTAAAAAAACGTTCATTTGGACCCCCCCCCCCACACACACACACTTTTACTATAAAACATTAGTTCAGGCGGTGCAGTTTCTCTTTCTTTGTGAACGAATCCATTCCACTTAATTAATAGGAGAATATTCAAGCCACTAAAACTCCACTCCAGGTTTTCCTGGTTACCTCCAACTCTCCACCGTCCTTTCCTGCTTCCTGTCTCAGCAGAAAACGCGCACAGGTGGAGGAGATGGACGTACCTGTGTTCCTCGCTCGCCAGTTTAGCAGCTTAGTGCGGGCAGTTGTTGACCAGGGGGTTGATCATAAACATATATTCATGTTAGGAGGATGTTTGAGAGGAGCTACGTCTGTAGCATCTTAGCTTAGCTGTAACTGTGACGCTGTAAGACGCTGCAGGTGTAAGAGACGCTGTGTGTGCAGGTGCATTAAAGTTGAAATGTCTTTAAAACCCCACAAGTTATTGACCTCAAGCTTCATGAGAAACATCATTTAGATGAGTAGCGTTGAACACAAGTAAAAAAGTCCAGTGCTGATGTTTTTTATTTCTCTATAAACACAAACAGTGCTGACTTGATGCTCTGTATTAAAGTGTATTAAAGTTAAAAAGTCTTTAAAACCCACAGCTGAATTTACACAAACTTGGTGAGAAACATGTTTTAAATGTGTGGAATTAAAGGAAATCTAGGTGAAATGCTGCTTTTTTTGTTCACTAGTGAACACCTATTTTTACGTGCGCACACCCGCGCACGCGCGCACTCACACACCTACACACATCATTGTGTCCCCCCCACATTACGGATGCTTCTGACGCCCTTGCTTTGCAGGCAATGACTCTGTTTACCCATTAAGCACAAAGATGGAATTCTCATTTGAAACCAAACCACATTACAGACTCAAAGCCACATTCACATACAAATTCCAACCCCAATTAAAGTAACTTTGGCTTTTCTTTTTATGTTCTGTTATTAAAAGGCTTTGACTGAGGCCAGCAACAACCTCTGGATCAGATGAGCAGACGCATGACTCACTGGGCCATTTGATTAACAGGAAGAGAAGAAAAAAGATTTTCCCTACTGAATACTAACAGAAACTAGAAAGCTCCTGGAGAAACTTTGACGGGGACTGCCACTTTGCGACCATTTAAAATTTTTACATTTATAATATTCAGCTACCACCATACCAAATTTCAGCCCAATGTGGCAAAAAAAAATCAATGAGTTACAGTACAGTCTTTTTTCTTTTTTTTTGTAAGCTATGGTGGCCATCTTGGATTTTTTATTTGGATCCAGTATGTGATGGGGAACGTTCTCAGCTATGAACAAGTCCAATTTCAGCGCAATATCTCAAAGAATGACTGAATTTTAATCAACTGTGAGTTTTTTGAGGTATCTATGGCAGCTAAAAATGAAAACCAAAATGGCTCCAAAAATGATTCAGTGTGTTTTTCAGAGACCTCTTCCATCTCTAGGTCATGTGAAATCACTGTGGCAGTTAGAGGCGCTTAAAAGTTCTGTCAGGCATTTTGAATGAGAAAAACGGCGTATTTGTTTGCAAATTATGTTGCCATGGTAACTCGAAACACCAATAAAAGTAATAGCACACACCAGAGTGCCGAGCTGGTTGTTCTGATATAATATTTGTGAGGGTACTCAATGTGGGTCGGACAGCATTAAAGTTGATAGAAGAGCCAAACCCTTTTCAGGTGAATAAAAATAGGGAGCTGCCAGAGGCAGTTTAACTGTAGAGCCTACTCAGACTCAAACATAAACAGTTTATTACAATGCATGGTTTGATACTTCTAAAATAAAATGGTGTTAATTTAAGACACTAGGTGACTTTTAATGCAAACACACAATTACACACGCGTTAGCTCTCATTCATTAGCATAGCTGCTGCCCCAGAAGGATGCACACAGACCGTAGAGCCAGCTGACAGCATGATGGGATCAGGGTGGAGCCCATGGCCCATTAGCCAAGGTCATAGTGGAGCACAGTCTCTCAGCTGGCTGCTGCCTCATCAACCTGCTATAGGAGACATTGAGTGTTTATCTGTGAACACAGCCACAGAGAACACATCATTTTCACTACTCACCTGCATATTATGATTTTTTTTTTTTTTGCATGCACATTTTTTATTTAATTTTTGTTATGAGTCAGTGTTGCCCCAGTGATTAGTAATTATGCTGAGAAGGCAGTGGCAGTGCACCAGTGCTAATCATCAGCTAACCTTGCATCTCACAACCTCTCTCATCGTGCCAGCAGGAGCCTCTCAGGGCCATTCCATCAGCTTTAATAACAGACACACATCAGAGGAGAAAAGCTGCCTTGTGCTGGCATTTATTATCAAAATTATGTTTCCTGATAACCACATGGAAAGGTGTTAAAAACAAGCAATGAGCAGCTAAATATTCCACAATATTCCATGATCCTGGTTTGTTATCCTTAAAGACAACAAGTTCAATGTACACAAAGGCATAAACTGGGAAAGAAAAATACTGATGTACTCACCTGGGCTGGTGTCCACTTCAACAGTAGATGTCTCTGGAGTCAAGGTTCCACCTGTTACAATTTAATACATGAGCATTGTGAGCTTTGTCTTGAATATAATCATTTTTTAAAACAAATCCTCATTAATCCATGCACTACCTGTGCTAGCTAAATTTAACTTGTTGACGCATGCCATTTTTACTTCATTTTCATTTAAAACAGTAGGTTGCAAAGAATTCACACCAGTGATAATTGTTCTATTTTGCTTTCTTATGATCTGGAATTTCAATAGGATTTTGAAATTAGATTCTACGTAATACTGATCATTTAAAGAAGCACTTTAAAGTAATGATGGAGCAAGAACTTGTTTGGAACAATTAGAGCCTGTCAAGATGCATTCTGCAATAATAACAGTAGCAAGTCTCTTAGGGTACATCTGCAGCTGGGCACATCAAAACCTCTGGAATTATTATTCCAAACTGTGTGACAGAATTGCTCCAGCTCCTTCAAGTTGGATCAGTCCCAGTTATGTACAGCAATCTTTAAATTGCACCAAAAATTCGTAGCTGGACTGAGATCTGAGCTTTGACTGGGCTAGTCCAAGAATTTCCACAGCATGATGCTGTTCCCACTGATCACTGTAAGGGCGGTGTATACTGAGATAATACGACAGATTGCTCAGCGAGGGATTGGAGCTTCAAAGCAAAGATGGTGAGTACATCAGCATTCAACACTGTTCAGCTTTATATTTTTCAAACATATTTAAAAGAAGGATTTCCCTCCATGGGCGGCATGGTGGGTCAGTTGTAGAGCTGATGCCACTCAGCGAGAAGGTTGCCAGCTCAAATCCCAGCCGGGGGTCTTTCTGGATGGAGGTTCATGTTCTCTCTGTGCTGCATGGATTTTCTCCGAGTACTCTGGTCTCCTCCCACAGACCAAAAACATGTATGTTAGGCCAAGGGCGTCAGAAGCATCCGTAATGTGGGGGAGACATGATGTGTGTAGGTGTGTGTGTGCGCGCGTGCACGTGTGTGCGCACGTAAAAAAAGGTGTTTACTAGTGTACAAAAAGCAGCATTTCACCTAGATTTCCTTTAATTCCACACATTTAAAACATGTTTCTCACCAAGTTTGTGTAAATTCAGCTGTGGGTTTTAAAGACATTTTAACTTTAATACACTTTAACACAGAGCGTCAGATCGGCACCATTTGTGTTTATAGAGAAATGTAAAACATCAGCACTGGACTTTTTTACTTGTGTTCAACACTACTCATCTAAATGATGTTTCTCATGAAGCTTGAGGACAATAAGGTGTGGGGTTTTAAAGACATTTCAACTTTAATGCACCTGAACACACAGCATCTCTTACACATGCAGCATCTCACAGCGTCACAGTTACTGCTAAGCTAACATGCTACAGACGTAGCTCCTCTCAAACATCCTCCTAAAATGAATATATGTTTTTGATCAACCCCCTGGTCAACCACTGCCCGCATTAAGCTGCTAAACTGGCGAGCGAGTAACACAGGTACCTCCACCTCCTTCACCTGTGCGCGTTTTCTGCTGAGGCAAGAGGCAGGAAGGGACGATGGAGAGTTGGAGGTAACCAGGAAAACCTGGAGTGGAGTTTTAGTGGCTTGAGTATTATCCTATTAATCAAGTGGAATGGATTCATTCACAAAGAAAGAGAAGCTGCACCGCCTGAACTAATGTTTTATGGTAAAAGTGTGTGTGTGTGTGTGGGGGGGGGGGGGGTCCAAATGAACGTTTTTTTAATGTGGGGGGGAATTGTCCCCTTCACATATAATGGTTGTGACGCCTATGTGTTAGGCTGATTGGTAACTCTAAATTGTCTCTAGGGCCCTATTTACACGGACATGATGAGGGGAAACATAGTTTTTTTTTCGTATGTTAATTAAAGGAAAAGATCCGTGTTGACACGGAAGGATTTTGGGTTTACATGCATCCAAAGGATCCCCCCCCCCCCCCCCCCCCCCCCAAATCTGCAGCAGTTACCATTCCAGGTCATTAGATGGCGCTGTGAATTTTGTACCTTCACCTAATGTGCATGCGGCACGTGCCTTTCCTGTGAGCTAAAAAGCTCAGCTAACAATTTAACAAGTAAAAGCTGGATTTTAACTGGATTGTGGATAAGAGTCGACAGATTTGACGCCAAGCGGGACCGCTTCATCTAACAGCTCCACACCGGTCGCTGAGTGGACCAGAACCGAGTCGATGATTTCGGACTTTACTCCGTGATAATCAGTAGCTGTTTTACAGCAGGTAAATCAACGTTCTTAATAATGTTTGCTTGTGTTTACTTCGGTTACAAAACAACCAACTGAGTTTTTATTTTTCCTGAAAGAAGGAGCTGTATAAATATATTCCATCAGTCGAGGTTCTGAAAGCAGTGTATCTGCCGCCATGTTGGTAGAAATATAGCGTCTGTCCGCGCGTGCGCATGTGGTTTAACACAAAGCCTCAGCGGGAGATGTTTACATTATCAGCGGGGGGTCAGCGAAAAAACTCCACTCTGGAAGGTGGGTTCAGAAACCTCCGGATTCAAAGAGGGGGGCCACTGGTGTCATGTAAATGATCAGCAGAACCGCAGAGAGAAAGCTGCGGATGCACTCAAAATTTGCGCCGTGTAAACGGCCCCTAGGTGTGAGTGAGAGAGTGAATGGTTGTTTGTCTCGTTTGTCTCTATGTGTCACAGTGATGGACTTGCGACCTGTCCAGGGTGTACCCCGCCCCTCGCACAGTGATTGCTGGACATGGGCACCGGTGACCCCCATGACCCAAAATGGAAGAAATTGGTAAAAAGATAATGGATGGATGGATGGATGCTTAAACCACTGACTATTATTAACAGTTGACGGATGCGCGCAGCTGAGGGGGCAGAAGATCAGAGCTGAAGAGCTGTCAAAGTGCATTAAATGCTTCACCTGCTTCTGCCTGCATTGGACCCTGCTCTGCCATGTCAGATATTTTGTGATCTCACCTGTTTGGGTTTCGGCTGTGCGCGTTCACTGAGTGCAGCGGCTGAATGAATGTCCATTTGGACTGATGGATCACTGACAGTAGTCCATCTGAAGCTTAACTGAACTTTTTATCTTTCAACCAGCTGGTCAGTGCGTGGTCAAATGGCCGAGTGCGGCAGGTGCAGTATAGCAAGCTATGTTTGCATATATTGGATCGTTGGCTGCACACGTTCCTGATACAATAAAAAGCCAGACACCGACCCGGGCCACACATTAAGCACATTATTATGGCCTGGCCTGGTCCGAAACCAGGTCCGAAACCGGGTCGGGTGGGGCCGGGCTCCGGGTTCGGGTTAGAAATTACAGATCTACCACAGACCAAAAACATGCATGTTAGGCTGATTGATAACTCTAAATTGTCCTTAGGTGTGAGTGAGAGAGTGAATGGTTCTTTGTCTAGTTTGTCTCAATGTGTTCCTGTGATTGACTGGAGACCTGTCCAGGGTGTCTCCCGCCTCTCACACAGTGATTGCTGGATATGGACACCAGTGATCCCTGTGACCCAAAAAAGAAGAAGCGGGTAAAAGATGGATGGATTTTCCTCCATTTCCCTTCATTAATTTGAAGTATCATATTTTTTGGCCTATAAGTCAAAGTCTTTTGCATAAGTTGCATGCATTTGTTCCCATATTTATAAACCAATTTTTGGCTGAGACATGACCGTTTTAATTAATTCTGACTGAAAATATTGAACACTACCATTTTCAGCTGCTAGATGGAACTCGAGCAGTATGACATGCCGTTGTGTCATGTAATACGTAAAAGTGGGTATTAACGGCACAATCAGCTTGCCATACACAGCCACCTTCATCCAGCTTGCCTGGAAGAACCAGCTTCATTTCGCTGCACAGCCCCAGTGAAATGCAACTAATTTGACCATTAAAGTGCATTTATTAAGTAAAAGTTCAACTGAGACACACCTTTGCTATAATGTCGAGCAAACAAACAATTGATTTAGGTGCTTATCTTGTTAAATTTCAAAGAAATGCACAGTGTTCCTCCTTCCTGATTTCCTCCCTCAGAGCGCACTCCCAGAGCACTGAGGCAGCTAACACTTTTGAAAATACAGCTGATTTGACCGTCAAAGTTTATTTATTTAGGAAAAGTTAAACTGAGACACACCTTTACTATAAAGTCGACAAAACAAATAATTGTTTTTAGGTGGTTATCTTGTTAAATTTCGAAGAAATGCACAGCGAGTCGCCCTATACACATTCCTGTTTCTGCATATCGGCTTTAGAAAATGCAGCTTATTTGACTAATAAAGTGCATTTATTAAGAAAAAGTTAGACTGAGACACACCTTTACTATAATTTGGAGCATATAAATAATTGTTTTTAAGTGTTAATCTTGTTAAATTCTTGTTAAAGTCCTCCGGTGCACACTCACACAGCCGCCATTTGGCAGCCAGTCGATTTGTGGCACAATACCGGACCACATTTCTGGGTTTGGCCCACATTTCCAGGTTGTCAGTGGTGACGTGTAACAAATGCGACACGCTAGCGGTGATGCATAATAGATGCGACTATACAGCGAAGTGACACATTTATGGATTTTTCCACTCTGTTAGACATATTTGGACTGATGCGACTTATAGGGCAATGCGACATGTATGGCGGAAAATATGGTACATATTTTTTTTGTAGAGTTAATACTTAAAATCAAATGTTAAAAAAAATCCAAGAAAATTCTAGATTGTAAGGCAACAAAATAGAAAGAATACCAAGGAGTGAATTATTTGGTAACCCACTGTATCTGCCAGGAAGTACTTATCTAAGTCTTTCAAACACATGACTGAGACAGTGCCATGCTCATCATCAGAGACTGCTGGTCAATAAGGAGCGCAGGAAGCAATGCAGTGAGCTGCTGGGATAGCTGGGCCAAAGGTTGAAATGGGAGTACAGAGGAGTAAGAATGTGAGAAGTTAAACAGCAAGAAGAGCCAAGGCATGGTTGCATGTAGTGTTTATCAGTACAATAGCTCTTTCATGTAAGTTTCACAAAGTAGAGATAAGAAGATCAAACAGGAAGGTAGGAACTACTGGTGCAGCTAATTTGAGTTGTTCCAAAGCCAGCCTAGATGTGAATGCATGCATGCTTGTAAATTATACAGCAGATAAGCTGCAGGAAGTCAGGGTTGCAGATTGAGTGCGAGCAGACGGGGGGGGAGAGCAAAGGGAAAGGAAAGATTGGTCGCAGTCTCATGAAGGCGATGTTACCACCTGTCTCGTCGTAGTCATCACCTGTGCCACTGTGGCAGCTTGTCTGGTCGTCATCACACTCATCTGATGGGGAAGTGCTTGGGACCAGTGGTGTTGGAGGGAGTGTAGAAGCTAAAAGACAGACAACAGACAGTACAGATTAGAGCTTTAAGTTAAACATGGTGAGCTCTGAGGTTATGGTTGTCATCAATTAATTAAGGAAAGGAAACTACAATTACCTGTTTTTATTTTACTTTTTTGAGTTAGCAAACCAAGGTAAACCGCTGTTACAAAGTAATCCTATTGCTTAAACATTTAGAAATCAATCAATTGTCAAGACGTTGGTCAACTGGAAGATGCTTTAGTTAGAAGTGATTTGTTATTTTATGTGTTTATGTCCATCCATCCATCCAACTATCGTCTATCCATCCATCCAACCATCCACCCATCCATCCATCCATCCATCCACCCACCATCCAACTACCCACCCACCCATCCATCCATCCATCCATCCATCCATCCATCCATCCATCCATCCATCCATCCATCCATCCATCCATCCATCCATCCATCCATCCATCCATCCATCCATCCTTTACCTGCTTTTTCCTATTCAGGACACAGGGGTCACTGGTGCCCATATCCAGCTATCACTGTGGGAGAGGAGGGGGACACTCTGGACAGGTCTCCAGTCCATCACAGGGACACAAAGAGACAAATGAGACAAACAACCATTCACTCTCTCTCTCACCTAGAGACAATTTAGAGTTACCAATCAGCATGCATGTTTTGATCTGAGGGAGGAAACCGGAGAACCCAGAGAAAACCTACGCAGCACAGAGAGAACATGAAACTCCACCCAGAAAGACTGGGATTTGAGCTGGCGACCTTCTCGCTGAGAGGCAACAGCTCTACCAACTGAGCCACCATGCTGCTGTGAGGAATACAAGTTTGTTTGTTTTTTATAGTTAAAATTGTCTTTTCCTCCTCATCATCATCCTCATTTTCCTAGTCCTCACCATCTTCATGCTCCTTCTCCTCATCTTCTTCCTTCTCATCATCATAATCATCATCATCCTCCACCTCATCATCATCCTCTTTGCTCTTGTCTCCAGCTTGCTCTCTCCTATGTTGTAAACCTTTTCCATCTTTCTTGCAGCTATGCTTCTGTCACAACTCCCCTCGACACTCTTCTCCCTCCACTTCACCACTGTCTCTTCTTCACCTCTCTTGTGTTCTAACCTTTGCTTTTGAAGGCTGATCCCAGCTGCTTAAACTTGTTCACCTTTAATACCTCTGGTACTCACAGTATCACTGTTGTTCCTGTATCCCTCCTCTGCACACACAAATTATGTCCTGCTTCTGCTGACTTGCATTCTACTTTTTCACAGATCATACCTTCATCTCTCAGGGTTCTCTTCAAACTGCTCCCTACTTTCACAACAGATCACAGTCCTAGAGTTAAACAGTAAACTGGAACAACACCAACAAAATAAAGATCAATACGTGTAAGAGCATCACACTTTTTGGCTTCAATTACATGCTGGGTTTCTGTATAGGCTTGATCTATTAGCATTCCTTTTTTTATGGTGCTGCAGAGGTGTGGGTGTATAAACACACACTTAAAGTGAGCACATGCTGCCCAAGGCTTGAGCAGTTGGAGCTACAAGATGCAAAAAAACAAAATTAAGGACTGACTATTAGCAGGGCTACTGTGGTCTATGATTATGGCTGTACTTAACTTTGATGTGGGCATAGCTCCAGATCCACTCCACGCTCCTCTGCCACACAGCCGCTCTGTGGTGTGTGTGTGTGCCTTTTGTGAATGTTTACACTGACTGAGTAATGATGGGGCTTCCCCAGAGCAGACGGAAGAAAATGAACGAAGAGAGAGATGGAGCGAGGCAAAGACAGATTGGGACAAACTGCCTGAAATTTTGTACAGTAGCTCTCTCTCTCTCTCTCTCTCTCTCTCTCTCTCTCTCTCTCTCTCTCTTGCTAGCTATGGCAGAAGCTTTGATGTAACAGGGAGACAAGACAAGAGGCTCTTGTAGGGATGAAGAACATGAGCTGGACATCTGTGTGCTGAATGCAGGAGCCTTCATGCAAATCATTAAACAACCAAAGCTGTGGTAGAGACATGATATGAACCCTACTTTTAGCCCTGCCATTAGCCAATATGATAGATTGCTCACCTATTTGAGTAGACATTTCAGATGACTAGATGTCTGCAAATTGAAATACTGTTAGTGTCCCTTCAGACTTGATGACAACCTCACGGTGTTTTTACCTATTAGCACTTGGCTGGATTGTTGTAAATTATGGAATCTCTTAGTACTTGTAAATAACTTATGTTTCCTGCTATTTTACACATCTTTGAGATGCTCTCATGCACCATCAGCATCCCATTACCTCAACAATACTTATATATGAATTCTAGAATTCTAGAATTGCGCCACTCAAGGTGGCTGCATGTTGGAATAGCTCTGTTACTTTCAAAATGAGATATTACTTTTGAAAACTTTAATTCCTCTTTTTTCTGGATATAAATCACTTTTTTTGGATGATTGTTTCCTCTCGTGTCGGATGCTGTGCAGCTGGAAGGATTTTTACAGAAATATCTTTGCTCTTGGACATTTGTTATGATAAATGGTAAATGGACTGTACAAACCGGATTCCAAAAAAGTTGGGACACTAAACAAATTGTGAATAAAAACTGAATGAAATGATGTGGAGATGGCAAATGTCAATATTTTATTCGTAATATAACATAGATGACAGATCAAAAGTTTAATCTGAGTAAATGTAACATTTTAAAGGAAAAATATGTTGATTCAAAATTTCACAGTGTCAACAAATCCCAAAAAAGTTGGGACAAGTAGCAATAAGTAGCTGGAAAAAAGAAATTGAGCATATAACGAACAGCTGGAAGACCAATTAACACTAATTAGGTCAATTGACAACATGATTGGGTATAAAAAGAGCTTCTCAGAGTGTCAGTGTCTCTCAGAAGCCAATATGGTAAGAGGATCACCAATTCCACCATTGTTGCGCAGAAAGATAGTGCAACAATACCAGAATGGTGTTACCCAGCGTAAAATAGCAAATACTTTTAAGGTATCATCATCAACCGTGCATAACATCATCAAAAGATTCAGAGAATCTGGAACAATCACTGTAAGTAAGGGTCAAGGCCGTAAAACTCTACTGGATGCTCTTGATCTCCGGGCCCTTAAATGTCACTGCACCTCAAACAGGAATGCCACTGTCAAGGAAATAACAGAATGGGCTCAGGAATACTTCCAGAAAGCATTGTCAGTGAACACAATGCACCGTGCCATCCGCCGTTGCCAGCTGAAACTCTACAGTGCAAAGAGGAAGCCATTTCTAAGCCAGCTCCACAAGCTCAGATGTTTGCACTGGGCCAGGGGTCATTTACAATGGAGTGTGGCAAAATGAAAGACTGTTCTGTGGTCAGATGAGTCACGATTTGAAGTTCTTTATGGAACACTGGGACGCCATGTCATCTGGACCAGAGAGGACAAGGATAGCCCAAGTTGTTATCAACGCTCCGTTCAGAAGCCTGCATCACTGATGGTATGGGGTTGCATGAGCGCTTGTGGCATGGGCAGCTTGCATGTCTGGAAAGGCACCATTAATGCAGAGCACTATGTTCAGGTTCTAGAACAACATATTCTCCCATCTAGATGTCATCTCTTTCAGGGAAGACCCTGCATTTTTCAACACGATAATGCCCGACCACATTCTGCAGCAATCACAACATCATGGCTACGTAGGAGAAGGATCCGGGTACTGAAATGGCCAGCCTGCAGTCCAGATCTTTCACCTATAGAGAACATTTGGCACATCATAAAGAGGAAGGTGTGACAAAGAAGGCCCTAGACGATTGAACAGTTAGAGGCCTGTATTAGACATGAATGGGAGAGCATTCCTATTCCTAAACTTGAGAAACTGGTCTCCTCTGTCCCCAGACGTCTGTTGAGTGTTGTAAGAAGAAGGGGGGATGCCACAAAGTGGTAAAAATGGACGTCCAAACTTTTTTGGGATTTGTTGATGCCATGAAATTTGGAAACAACAGATTTTTCCCTTAAAATTATACATTCTCTCAGTTTAAACTTTTGATCTGTGATTTGTGTTTTATTCTGAATAAAATATTAGATGTTGGCACCTCCACATCATTGCATTCAGTTTTTATTCACAATTTGTTTAGTGCCCCAACTTCTTTGGAATCCGGTTTGTACTTATATAGCACCTTTCTATCTTATGGAGACACTCAAAGCGCTTTACACTACGATATGTGTCCTCATTTACCCATTCAGACAACACTCTACTAGATCTCTACAAAGCTAATTGAACAAATTATGCTAAAGAGACTAATTAGTGCTTTATCACATTCTTACACCGATGGGACACACATCAGAGGCAACAAGGGGTTCAGGGTCTTGCCCAGGGACACTTCGGCATGTGACTGCTGGTGGATTCGAACCCCCAACTCTTGCATGGGAGGACGACTGCTCTAACCAGTCAGCTACTGCCGCCCCTGATGTGCAACCATAACAACAAGGTTGTTTTTTACAACTGGGAGCAGGTGATTAACATCTCCAAAGTTCAAATAATATCTCAACTACAGCCCCAAATCCCAAATGAGTTGAAAAGGAGGCATTGTGGATGCAGAGCAGGAGCAAAGAAGAGAGAGAACGAGAGAAGAATAAAGTTCAAACCATCCGACTTCCGGTACCGACTTCTGGTAAGATGGCGCCCGTGTACATGGCTTGCAATCCACTTCTACTGATGGTGTTCGGATTATTTTTGTTTTTTGTATTCCTCATCAATTACATCAACTCTCTGCTGGTGTATGACAGACAACAACTTTTGGATCTTCGTTTTTCTGGCACCAATGTCGCTTATCTGGACCATTATCAGCGTACCTCTGGACCCCCCCCCTCCTCCCCCCCTGCTGGCGGACGTGCCAGCTTACCTTGGCTGCGCTCTTCACCTGCCTGCCCGGAGATCTCGCTTCAGACGCCGGGGAAAACATGCTGGTCAGCTGGTGAAGCTGAAAGCTCTGCGCGCTGCATCTTCCTATTCAGCTGGCGGTCATGGTCTCTAGC